TCTTGCCTTTAAGGTGAATAGATTGACTTTAACAGTAATAAGCCTTCACAGCTTGCTCATAAGCCGAACGGCTATCAACATGATTGTGAATATCTATCACTCCTGTCCCAGCGTTTTCTCCTCACAGCCTCAGCAAAATAAAATCAATAATCGAGTGCATAATAAAATATAGTCTTTAACAAGACAAAAAAATAGGTGATTTATTTAAAACTTAACCACGACACCAACACCAACCACAAACCTGCCTCCTACTCACTTTTGCCCAATAATGAGCCGAATCGAATTGAGCTCTGCGTGAAGGCCCCGCAGTTTTCATAGGGATAGTTCTATACTTAATTTCAGGAGCAGATCACAGCGAAGCACTCACTTGTGATAAACAGATCTTGGACATACTTGCGATGAGTATGAGACGTAAGTTAAGGAGTTGAATTTACTCTGCGTTAACTTTACAATTTTTTCTCAGGAAGACGTAGTCTATTACTACATTCTCGTATCAATAGCGACCATTGCATTCATTTATTCTCTGTATCTGATGATCAACGTGACGCCTCCTCGAATGAAACCATACGTATATTTACTCCTTAATATACAGGTGAAACAAAAATATTTCACTCTGGTTCTTAAAGCTATTGGCTAACCAGGGAACGGTTTCAGTTGCTCTTGTGACTTTGAATTGAGACCTGGGTAAATCGATAGAGCCTAGATAGAATGCTGGTTACAAATATGAAAGCGAAAATGCGACGCAAAACTTGCCGATAAATTTGTGAGCGATCTGTCAATGCAGAGTTGATATAATGATGTTTGACAAGAGTCTAGTTGCAAGGAATTCCGAGCTCTGATTACGAAGGTGACATCTATTCTTGGCGCAGACCATTAGGCACCAATCTGGAAGCACAAATTTAACACATTGCGTACCGCGTGCGCCACCATGTGGCGCACGATTTCGCACGAAACAGCATAGTTTTATCTGATTTATTTGACATTTTTCAATGCTCCTGAACTGTTTGCACTCATTTTCAGAGCCGGGAAACCATACGTGTCATCACTGATAAAATTGTTGATAGATTAATGATGATACATTTTTGAAAAATATAAAAAATATACGAAGGTACTCATACAACGGCGGTCCGCAATGTGTTAAATTTGCCACCACAGAGTCTCAAATTTTGGACCCCCTGATCGCTCACAGCTTCCTTGAATAGTTCACGAAGCAAATTGGGTATTCACATCTTCAATAATCATCCCGAGCTCCATCGTTCCTAGGTCTCCATCCAAAGTTCCAGAAATCGGAGCAGTTCCCTGGTAAGAAATTCAACAAACACACACAATATAGATTTCGAGCGAAAACCAGCGTAACGAGACGAATGCACAACACTCCCAGCGCTCATGCCAGGGGACATTTTCACAAACTAAGCCAATGCAGATTCGTGAAAAGCATTTCATTTTATCAAAAAGCTTCGGAAGGGGTAATTCTCACTTTCGCATAACGGCGCGGTGCACTACTATTCCTCTTTGTCTCGTCTTTGTCTTTTTCTACTCTTTTCATATGACTACTGTTTCGAGCCTATCCGTGGGTCAACCGATCTTGTTCAGGCGATGTTTGTGGTAACTCCAGCACGATTTTACCGGTGAAGAAACAGTGAAATGGTGGCAGCCTTACAAGCCAAGCCAAGTTTTGTTCACAACCCAGCATTCTTGTGAAACATTCGCAAGGCGAACTGCGGCCAAAAACAGCAGTTAACAAACAAAAACAAGACAAAAATGAAATTTGACTTGTTTTTTTTCCACTGCTGTTTCCGGCTATGTTTTTTTGTGAAACAAGGAACAATTGTCTAACATAAAAACCACACAGCATAAAAAAGATAAAGAGCGTAGAACTGAAACCCCAGATGTTTATGCTTTTGAGCACTCTTACTGTTCGAATGCGATAAGACAATTTCAAACCTGTATCAGAACATTCCATATAAACTGCCGCCGGAATTTCCACTACCTCACCTATAGAGCGCAGGCGAGCACAGCGTTGCGAGGGGGGACCATTATTTCGTTGGACGTGGAAACTGTTCCTTATAGACCTTCTAAACCACTTGGGTGTGCTCCGTTCCAAATGTTCCCTCCAACGATACAAATTCCGCTTGCAACGCCAAGAGTCATAGAGAGTGGTCAGTCTGGCGCCTACACTGGACAGTAAAGGCGGCAAAGAAAACCCTCCGCAACTCCGCAATAGTAGTAGATAATGAGAGTAGATCAAACTTAGCATCTCCAGATACGTATGAAGACGTGCATTACCCTTTATTTGTCCGAATGGCCTCGTAAAGTTTCCTGGTGAGAAGATTCGATCATCTAAATAATTTAGATTGCGTCCTATGTAGAGATAACGTTCAACGGTGTGTTGATGTCTCCCCGTATGGATGAGCCCCCACTTCGGAATCAGAACTGACGGTCTCTTGTGGAAGTTGTTCAACATACCAACACGATATCTTTATGTGAGTCAAACCTTCACTATATTGCAGCTCATCCATTGAGTTCTTGGTGAGATGACTCTTCAATTATATCACAAAGCCTGTAAGGACGTTCATAGGCGGGGTTCCGTCTCACCGCTCTAGTGCTCTTCAAATTAGTCAGTGCTCTGTCAATTAATGTCCACCTGCCACACGGTTGGAATCAGAGGCAACCGTTACGTTGGGCAAATCAAAAATATACCCGTCGAGCTGGAGAGGGGGAGGGGGAGGGGAAGCGTCACACTGCGACTCCTCGTTGATGTAGGACTCACGCTGCCTCCGATCTTGCGGATACGACCCCCCCTCGTTGGACAAAGTTCAACGAATGGTTGACATTGCTTGGAATTGCTGATACACAATTTGATTCGCTGGTGCAACACTCTTAGGTCCGCCCTGGGCCGGAGTCTGACATCGGCCCAAGGCGGACTTCTCTGCGTGCGCCACCTTGCCTTCGATTGTCCATTGAGTGTGATTTTTGTAAGTTTGTTTCTTTTCGCAACCTGGATCTTTGTGCATGGAACTTTGTATGTTGTCTCTTGTTTACACTACAAGGACACCATTATAGCATGTTACACCTACACTAAAAGATTTTGTTCGTGTGCTCACCTTTGAAGAAGTCATAACTACCGATCGGCTCGTTTACACAGCATGTATTTCGATGCAATTTGCTCAATGCGTTTCAAGACAAAGATCGCGACAGAAACGATGGTAACGAAAGAGAGTAATGGCTATTGGAGAGAGTATATGCTTAAAGGCACAACCCAGGCAGAGGTCGTGTGAACGCTTCCCTTCGGTCTGTAGTATAGACCCTAGAGGACAATCACAAATGTGGCGTTCCCGTGCACGGAAACCAACCGACAAGAGCGCTTGGGCCTTGCAAAGTAAGCTGCTGAAGCTGCAGATTTTTTTCTCTTATCAGGCTGTTGTCTGGCGCTCTCTCATCTGTAGCGCTCTCTCGCCTCATACTCTCCTCTCCGCGCTTAGTCTCTCATTCCCTTAGCACAGCCGATTAGAGTGAGCCCTTAACCTAAGCGTTTTCGACGGATTCTTTTCCTTTTTTCTTTACTGCCGGCCCATTTCGCACCAATACATTCGCATTCGTGTGCAAGAGCCACACCAATGTGATCCTGGGGCATGCCTTTGAGCAGCAAGATACGCTCATCGCCTGCAAGCGAAAAGGATGTTAACACTATTGTATTAGCAATGAAACACTTACCGTCATTGTTCGACTTTTTAATGCGCTTTGCATCGATCATCGAAATAGGAACTTCTTGTACATCGATTTAACACATTGACGACAACGCGGGGGATATATATCCCGCGCATTGCAGGCCATGTCGGACCGTGCGGGATATATATCCCCCGCACCCATTACACTCATTTTTTTCGCGCACGCCTGATTCTTTAGAAGTTTCTTGTATTCATTCCATGGAAGAGACCTTGACGTAGCTACAAACATAGTGGCCCTTAGAATGGTCACGTATACTTTAATTTAGAGGAGGATTTCTGAACCATACGAAATCTTCATTTCAATAAATTTTTCGTTTACTTTTTCTTTTATTAATGTGAAGATTTAAATAGTAGTAGAAGTAGATAAGGAACCTTAGGGATGACAATATGTGTGTTTTGATTGGAATAATCAACGTAAAATTGCTTTTGAGGTCCATTGCAGCTAGTTCTGACCAAATTTCGCTTTTTCATTGTTATTCCATGTCTTTCGATCGAAATTCCACTACTGTACCCCTGGTTAGGTTGCGCTCATTACAATTTACTGATCTGGTTTTGAATTGATCATTAGTTGTGTATTTATCACTCAAAATCTGCTTGAACGACCTGAGGCGAGCGCGCCCGCAAAATCGCCGCGGTCCCACGTGGCCAAAAAAGCCAAAACTCGCGTTGTCGTCAATGTGTTAACCATGATGCAGTAGTTAATCTCACCCAGCCTTTGTGTTAGATTCGTTCACTGCTGAAGTGGCGAAAATAAATCCCAAATCTCGGTTTTTGTTTACCGTATTGCTTGGTTATTTTCATGAACGTACTGCTTCGCAGAACTTGGATCGCTATCTGCCTCCTCGGTTGAAGAAATCAGTGCCTTGTAAGCGCTGCCTTTATTGAAGATCCTTTTGCAGGTTATTTTATCATTCTTATATACATGTACTGCAGGCGCATTGAATGCCGCGTATTTCTATAGGTATCAGCTATGCCTGTTTAATTCTGCGGCGAAATTCTCGAAACGTACTATGATAATAATAATTGTGTGCAACTATGTGGTTTCGCTGGCTACATTACCACCCCTATCGTTTCTATCTTTCAAAGAGAACGCGGAAAGCATTGCCCAGGTGAAAATGGTAAGGAATTTTAGATTGCAGTTTGCATGACTTTGTGACTAAGTGAATGATTGGTGCACCTTTTATGCGGTATCAATTCATTAGTGCTGTTGTAGCGCTATTCAACAATTTAATTTCCACTAATAATGGCTCGTTCCTTTAGATTGATCCTGCTATGGACGTCGGCGAGAATTTTGCCCTTGTTGAATATGGTACAGCATCAAAGCTGTATATTCTCATTAAGACTGTACATACAATTTTATTGTTCGTCGTTATGTTAGTGATTGTTAAACACACCTCGATGATACTACGAAATCAAGCGAGATTTAGCGAAGGGTCGAGGAAAATGCATCAGGAAGCCATTCGTGGATTGACTGTCCAGGTGAGCTTAGATGGAGCAAAGCAAGGTGCGCGTTCAGTAGATCTGTTCAACAGCTTACGTCTGGGTAAAGAGGTCGAGAAGGGTTTTCAAATACGAACACTTCTCCCCCTCCCTCTCACTTGCGAAGACAATCGCAACCCGCAACCGCAACCACTCTGTGCATACAGAGGCTCATGAGGGGAAGTGATCTTTTAAGAAGCTGACGAGGAAAATTTTGGAGATATTCGGGGCTAAATGAGTTGAGGGAGGGGAACACGCGGCGGCATGGCGCTCTGCCAAGCTCGATGGCACGGAGCCTGAGCCACGTAGGTGATATGCTGCTAATAATGATGGTGCATACAACGTTGTATACGTACAACGAAGAAATAAAAAAATAATTATGCAGCGATTTAGCACACTGAGTGATCCCTTCATGACGTCCCATGATGTGCCAAAGACGCTGATCAAACATTTCGCTTGAAGAATTTTACACTAACCTGCCTATTTTATTTATTTATAGCTTACCATTTTCAGACCGTGGCCATCACGTTCTCGGAGATCGTTCCCGTTTTGATGCTCTGTGCCAGTTTCTATGTGAGAAAGGTCACGTCGAAACCACCACCTCACAGTAATTCTTTCACATATTTTTTCATAACACTTCGGACGGCTCAACACCTATTTCCAACAGATTGACATTCAATAATGACACTAAATGACAATCTTTACGTGGATTAAAGGAAAAATCACTGACAAGGGAAGAATGATTGTTTGAAGTGGTCACTTGAAGAGTATTACTCAAAACCTCTGCGATGGTGAGCTCAGAACTGTTACATATCTGCTGAACGATTTTCTTCACGGAGTCACGAAAGGTTTTGTAATGGGAGCAAATTCAAGGGAGTAAGAATACCGGTTACTTACGTCACCTGGTGTGGATCACTGAGTGGTCACTGACGGTCACAGTGTTTGATGAACACAATTCTCTGCGATTTTCATAAATGTTCTGCATACATTCCAAAACTAATTGTACATCGTTGCCTAACCGTGAAAGAAACTGCTGATTTTGAAAAAGTGGGCTGTCTTGGGTTACTTAATGATGCAGGCTTAGTTCTTCAGCACCACTATACATGTGGAAAACTCGAATTGCACTGAGAAGCTTTGATCAGGGCTAGAATGGCTTCTGGAAAAATTCCATAGTCAGTTGTATGAAAATATCGTATTTGCATCATTTGTGGAGCCATGGCATGTGTGAGTCACTTTAGGAAATCTCCAAAACATGAACTGAAAGTAGTAGCAGGCGCTCCAGGGTCAAAGGCAGAGTCTACTAGGCAGCCTCAGCTACATGAGAACTTCCTTCTGTGTATGGAGATAATAGATAAGCAGCGCGCCAACTTCGACCTCAAAACGCGTCACTGAGGCGCTATGAGCCAAGGACGTGGATCATCCAGAATGATCAGTGCCCGCCCACCGTTCCATATGTTCGCATTGGTGACTGCTGTCCTCTCTCAAGTCAGAGCTCTTCTCTTCCTCTGGGACGCATACTATCCTTATTTCGCTGTCAACCCCCTATCATCAGACAACTGTGCAGCGTCGAGCAAGCCACTGGTTTCCACTTCAGTGTTTTTGACGGTTTTTCACCACTAGCGTCCCACCTTTCATCCCTACTTCCATATTCGGGTGGGAGTGTGATGTACCCCCAATTACCTCTGCAGATGGAGCTTGATGGGAGCAGCCTTCTTGCACACAGAGGTCTTAGTCGCAGATCAGCGACGAGAAGAAAACGGCGACTAGAAGGGCACTACCACCTCTGCCTAAACACCTGCACTTTTTCGATTTAAGGGCTAAAATTTCAATTTGATTAGAACATTTTCTGGAAAGACTTCGCGAGCACATATGTTCCCAATGTGAACGGGGATGGCCCGATTTCCTGATGTCGATTCTTCATATTCGCCCTCTTACCCCCACCGGATGTGGCGACGGAAGTATTTGTATTTTTTCAAAGCATCGCTCAGCAGATATGAAAGTCAGACTTAAAATCATCGCTCGAAGACGCATCAGGTACTGCCCATTGCAAGCTTAGCAACCACTCCCCCTACCGTCCCGAAAAGTAATGTCAAAGAAGTGTCACCTTAATCCACTAGTGCTCTTTAGGTTATACATTAGTCGGCGCCTTAATGATGGTGTCGAAATCAATCAACTGCACAATAGCGATGGTTTTAACGACATCCTGCTACAGGTAATATTTTTGAAGTATAGCCGCAAAAGTACGGCACAAGCAACAGGGCAAAAATGCGAATGTGCACCTATTCATATTTTTTCGAAATGAAGTCGCGTTCTCCGAAGTGGCCTAAGTCGTACTGAAATTTGAGAAATTCGATAGAAGCTGCAATGCAGACTTTCCACCTATCAAATTTTCCTATAATCTCAGATGGAGGGCCAAGCGTTCTGTGGGAACGTTAAACGGAGGGTGATCGGTGATTTTCAATTATTGGGAAATATTTTGTATAGGGTTTTGGGGGAGAGGAAGGGACGGGAAGTCTTTG